CCTGCCGCCCCCCCCCCCCCCCAGCCAGGAGAGGGCGCTCTGCCCAGCGATAGCTTTGGCGAAAAGAACTTTCCAGTTCATTTCCAGTCACGTGATTGCGTCTTTTGCAGTCTTTTCTTTTTGGAGTCTGCACATTGTTGGGTTTAAAAAGAGTAAAAAGGCCCGAGTAGGGCTGGAATCTGGCTTTTGCGCCTTCGGCCAACATGAGATTGTTGAGGGGAATTCCAGTTTCTTGAAATCCATTGTGTCTGATTTCTAATAGAGCGGCTCACAAGTGTCTCCTGAGAGACTCTATGTGTGTGTGTTATGTTATATTCATATTATTATAGATTCATTTCCATCAGGCTGGTTACAGTTCTCCACCTTCTGTTTTTTTTGTTGTTTTGTTTTCTTGGTTTTTTCGAGACAGGGTTTCTCTGTGTAGCCTTGACTGTCCTGGACTCTCTTTGTAGACCAGGCTGGCCTGAAACTCACAACGATCCGCTCGCCTCTGCCTCCTCAGTGCTGGGATTAAAGTCGGCCGCCATGCCCGACTCCACCTTCTGTTTTAACACTTCACTGTTGAGGAGGAACATGCTTATGTCTGGGAAAAAACAAAACAAAACAAAACTTGAATGAAAGTGGGAACCAAAGTTAGGACATGTTCAATTAGAGCCAGACGGCCCTGCATAAGAGCCATTTTTTTTCCCATACTTTTTTGGTTTGTAGCTACTTTTGGCACTATTTTAGCCACTCGAAAAACAGGCAGAAAGAAGGAAGGAAGGAAGGCAGGCAGGCAGAATGAGAGAGAGAAAGTTTGTTATTTTAATGGGTAGAGACTTAGAGTTTAGCAAGATGAGAAGAAATTCTGGATTTTGTTTACATGACAGTGTAAATGCAGTTAGCATTGCTGGCCTCTATGTTTAAAATGATTACGGTGTTAAGTTTTTCCTAATGTATACCTGAATCATTTTTTAAAAATCTTTGTGTGTGCACACTTGTCTTAGTTAGGGTTTCATTGCTGTGAAGAGACACCACGACAGCCCTTATGAACAAAACATTTAATTGGGGCTGGCTTACAGTTTCAGAGGTTTAGTCCATTATCATCATGGCAGGAAGTGTGGCAGTGTGCAGGCAGACATGGTGCTGGGTGAGGAGCTGAGAGTTCTACACCTCTATCTGCAGGCAGCAGCAGTAGACTGTGTGGCATGCTGGGTGTAGCTTGAGCATATATAAGACCTTAAAGCCCACCTCTACAGTGATACACTTCCTCCAACAAGAAAGACCACACCTCCTGTTAGTGCCACTCTCTGTGGGCTAAGCATTCAAACGTGTGAAACTCAAACCTACTCAAACTACCACATTCTGCTCCCTGACTCCCATAGGCTTATAGCAATAACATAATGCAAAATGCATTTAGTCCCACTTCAGTTTATCACAGTCTCAACAATGTTCAAAGTATCTTCTGAGATTCATGCAGCCTTTTAACTGTAATCCCCTATAATATCAAATTCAAAAAGCAGATCATATACGTTTAACATATCAGGGCACAGGATATACATTATCATTCCAAAATAACGAAAGGAAATTTCCCTGAGGAAATAGTGCACCAAAGGAGACTGAACACCAGCCGGGCAAGCTCCAAAGCCTTCATCTCCTTGTCTGATGTCAAAAGGCTCTTCAGATGGCCAGCTCCTTTCAGCTTTGTTGACTGAAACACACTTCTTTCTCCTAGTCTATTTCCCACCTCCTAACCCCTTTTTAGCAGCTATCTTAGGTGGGTCTCCCATGGCTTCAGCATCGCTAACATCCTGGGGCCTCCATGCAGAAACAACTGTGTAACCTGCCTGGCCTCAGTGGCTTTTTTTAGTCTCAGAGGGGGGATTCCATAACCCCCTTCTTTTACCCTTGACTCTAAAGCCAGAACCGCGTGGCCAGTGCTGTCAAGTTCTGCTCTTTGCTGAGGCTGGAACAAGGCCCCCTCCTTTCATTACGGCTTCACAAGCTCTGTGTTTTTGGTGGTTTCCTTCACTGCCTAAACTTGGCTGTCCTGGAACTAGCTCTGTAAGACCAGGCTGACCTGGGAACTCAGAGATCTGTATGCATCACCTCTGTCTCCTGAGTGCTAGGATTAAAGGTGTGTACCACCACATCTGGACCTAAACTTTTCTTTAGCTCCTTTTCACAGGGTGGAAGCTTAACTGGGTAGGATCTTGTCCCGAATTCACTACTTCCTTAATTCCATTTAATATCTTTAATTTGTTTATCTCCTTGAACACAGGATTTAGCTCCATCTCACTTCCTGGTGCCCCTTTAATCCTTGAACCATACATTTTGTATTTTTTTCCCTCCTCAGCTTGCTCTGTTTCATCAAAATGTTCTTCATAAGAGTGAGCCACTGGGGCTAGAGAGGTGATTCAGAGTGTTAAGAACACTGGCTGCTCCAAATATCCTGAGTTCAATTTCCAGGAACCACATAGTAGCTCATAACCATTAATAGTGACATCTGGTGCCCTCTTCTGGTGTGTTGTCTAAATAATAAATAAATAAATCCTAAAAAAAAAAAAGGAGTGAGCCACAGATCAGAAATTATACTAGGCTGTTTTGAGATCTCCTTTGCCAATGCAATTAATCTAAATCTCTTCACCTTAGCCTCAGGCAGACTCTTAGGACAAGGGCAAAAAAGCAGCCACACTCTTCAAAATATCACAAGAACAGTCTCTAGACTATGTACTAAAATTCTTCTCCTATGAAACCTTTTTCATCAGGTCCCCATACCTGTTCAAACCACCACGTTATGACCCCATAAACTCATGTATTTGAATGTTTGGCCATAAGAAGTGGTACTATTAGGAGGTGTGGCCTTGCTGGAGGAAGTGTGTCATTGTGGGTGTGGCCTCTAAGGTCTTATATGCTCAAGCTATACCCAGTGTGAGCCACAGTCTCCTTGCTGCTGTCTACAGATCAAGGTGTAGACCTTGGCTCCTCCAGCACCATGTCTGCCTGCAGGTTGCCATGATGATAATGGAGTTGCCGTCGTCATGGTGTCTCTTCACAGCAATAAACCCTAGCTAAGAAGTCAGCAGAAGGGTTGGCCCAGATTAAAAGTGTGCCTCAAGATCTGAGTTCTTTAGTTCATGTGTAAATCTGAATCTAAAGCATCATCTCACCTCGATATCCAGATCAAAAGCCTGTGTCTTCTAGCCTCAATATCCGGATCACAAGCGTGTCCTCCATTTCTGCTTTATAGTTCATTACCAATGTAGTCTGGTTGACATCCGGGAATAGCCATCACAGCCAGTCATTGAGTGCAGTGCCGTGGGATGTGTTTGGAGATCAGAGGCCGACCTCAGGTGTCAGTTCTTCCCTTCTACTGAGTTTGTAGCAGGATCTCTCTCGTTCACCACTAAGTATGCTGCTGGTTGGCCCATGAGCTTCTAGGAATTCTCTATCTCCATTCAGCCCTGGGAGTCCTGGGGTTTCAGATTTGTGCTGTTGTGCCTGGCTTTATACGAGTTTTGGGAATCTGACCTCAGGTCCTCATGCTTGTATGGCAAGTGTAGTGTCCACTGAACCATCGTCTCGGGTCTTGACTGCATTTTTAAAAAACTGTGTGTGTGAGAGAGAGAGAGACAGATACAGAAAGACAGAAGCAGTCACACCTATAATTAGTCACACCTATGATTACTCATACATGATACAAGACAGTATATTAGAAGATGCATGCTGTTTCTACTTGAGAAAATAAAATTTTTATTTTATGTATGTATATATAAACCTTTTTTTTTTTAACAGGAAAGAGCAAAAGAGAGGAGTAGTTCAAGTTTCTATGACTTGGGCAGCTTCAAGAAGCAAAGAGAGGAATATGAACACAAATAATTAGTATACAGTTTTAGAATAGGGAAAGGGCCTAAGCTTCATGTCTTTTAGAAGCGGGGGGCCGGGGGGACGACAATGTGAGATGGCCTTGTGATGGTGAGACCCAAACACCACTTAATGCAGTTCCTGCCTTGTTTCCACAGAGTTCCTTTGGTCTAGTGACAGCTGGGCCAGTCCATAATGGCACAGTTGACCTACAGAGACTGAAGCGGAATCCACCAAACTGTCCAGCAGGTACATTCTAGACTGATTGCCAGTCTTTGTCCCTGATTGCCCACCTCTGGCTCCATGTTCTTCCAATCTTCTGGTCCTTGCAGTTCCCATGACTTTTCTGCCATAGATACTTATTGATCATCTTCTAAATCCAAGATCATGGATATTTATCTCCATGTTTTCTATGAGTTTGCTGTTCTTTAATCCAGTTCCTTAATCTTTTCTTTTCCTTCCTTTTCTTTCTTTTTTTATTTTTTTCTGGATCCAACCTATGGCTAGATGTACACATTATCATTAAGCTCTAGCTCCAACACTGCTGGCCAGTTACCATTCATTTATTTGTATTGTGTGAATTCTGGGTGCCTTACAGTCATAAAACCATAGAAACCAGATGTGTTCGCATACTTTTCACTCATCTTAACTTTTCTTGGAACCGTTGGTAGCTCCCAGCCTAGTCTTATTAACCAGAATTATCAAGGTCAGAGTCTGTGCTCTGACATTCCTAACAAGCCAGGCTCTACCATGATCCTCAATAATGAAGCCAGTCAAAAAAAAGTAATTGACAGGAGAACTGGCCCTGTCCCTCACCTGGGCAGTGCTGGAGAGCTAGTCCAGATGGCACGAGTATGGGAGAACTGATGGGCTGACCAACTCATCTATCACCCTGACCCTGATCCAGGGCTTTGAGCTGGCCCACTTGAACATCTATCCCACCTGTGAGCTGCTAGAGCCCATGAAGGGGCCGGTCCTGCTGAACAAAAGCTACAGGTCCTTTATGACCCAGGGCAACAACAGAACATCTGAGAGAAGTCCCAGTGAAAATTCAGTATTGATGGTGTAGCTTTCAAAAGCCAAAGGCTTCAAACCAGACAACTCATTGCGTGAACATTTGCAAGTAATGATGTATGCACAAAAGGGTATACTGTGGGACACACCACAGCCTCAACTGTGAGATTTTTTTTTTTTTTTTCTGTTTTCTCATTTGGGGGAAGGTTACAAGCATAGATGTAGATATGGAAGGGCCAGGAAATGAGCGAGGTTGGGATGCATGATGTGAAATTCATAAATAATCAACAAAAAAAAAATTATAGGAAAAAAGGTCATTGATATTGAAATTCACGAGAAGATTTGTCTATTCTAGCCATATTGGAAACAGATAGAAGGTCTAGTGTCTCCCCAGGTCTATCTTGACATAAAACTTAGGGTTAAGTAGGGACCAGAGTTATGTTGTTGTTTTGTTTTCATATTTTGGTGTTGTTTTTCAACCAGGTGTAGCCTTGGTTGTCCTAGACTTACTTTGTAGACCACGCTGGCCTCTTGGCTCAAGAGATCTGCCTGCCTCTGCCTCCCTGAGTGCTGGGATTATAGGCGTGCACCACCATGACCATCTGTTTTCATACTTTTTTAATGGATTATTTACTTTCATTTTATGAGCACTGATGCTTTGCCTGCATGTATGTCTGTGTGAGGGTGTAGGATCCCCTGGAACTGGAGTTACAGACAGTCATGAGCTGCCTTGTGGTTGCTGGAAATTGAACTCAGGACCTCTGGAAGAGCAGCCAGTGCTCTTAACCTCTGAGCTATCTCTCCAGCCCCGGAATTATTGACCCATAATTATTTTGTCCCGATTCTGTTCTTGCAGGGTGGTCTGACAAGTTGCAACTCTCCCTCTGTATAAGTTTCTGTCTCCACCTACCCATAGGCTTCATCCTTTTTCTTTCCCCAGTACAATTTGTTGGAGTGCAGTGTCTTGATAGTCTTATAGGCAAAAGCAGAGGTCACAACCATCTCTTTAACATAATCCCTATTCCTTCCGAGAGGACCATTACAACTCTGCGGTCTCTGGCTGCTCCCTGTGTCTGGGTACCACTGCAGAGGCACACTGCTCCTTGGCCTCTTAAAGCAGCTGCCTCACTTTCTTTTGGCTGTGGCTTCAGCCTCCTTCCAGGAATGAATAGAATGAATAGAGCCGGTGGCAGGTGCTGAGACAGTTCCCATGGAGGTGACTCTGTGCTGGAGCCACCAATCTTGAGGACAGGCCAGCTCTGCTGGGTGGCGGGGGCATAGCAGAGGGCAGACGGTGCCACCTCCTGTTCCTCCAGTGTACAATGTCAGTAGGAACAGTATCTGCTACTCCAATCAGTAGAGGCAAACCTCTCCCAGCCTGATGGGGATGTGGTCCTGAGTGCTGGACAGTGATACAGCAAGAAAGAGAATGGGTACCAGATTGCTTCAGCTTGAGTTGATTTTCCATAGTCTGCCCATATAGGTATTTGTCTATTTTACAAGTTACCTACTTTGTTGCTGTGCCAAGATTCATAATATTCTTTCATAACCCTCTTTCTTTTTATTGGGAAAGAGAGTCTCCCTATTTAGCCCTGGCTGTCCTGGAATTGCTTATGTAGACCAGTCTTGCCTTGAGCTGTTGCTAACCTATATAGTGAGTTCTAGCCTAGCTAGGGCTATGTAGTAAGACCCTGTCTTAAAAAAAAAAAAAAATCAAAAGGAGAAAAGAATGTTCCATAGACATCCCCACAGCCAATCTAATGAATACAATTCCTCGGTTGTGACCACCCTGCTTCCCAGGTATGTCTGACTAGGACACAGGTCTTCACCACATCTCTGGGAATCCTGAGGTTTCTGTCACCATTTTTCTTTCCCTCCTCAGGCTCCTACCTATCAGAAGAGACTGGGGTTTGTGAGCTCTGCCAGGATGGTGTCGACTTCACCAGCTCCCCCAACAAACTGCCTTCGTGCGAACGCTGCAAAGTCTGTAAGGAAGGTACAGAACAAAGGGGATCTTTCCATGAGTGGGGCTGGGGACGTGGGAATCATAACTGCTGTGGACTCCGAAATCTCAATTCCAGTCCAACCTGGTCTTCATCCTGCCTTGTTCTCTGCTTGTCTTTAGTTCAAAAACAAAACCCCTGAAGAACTAATTTGTTTCAGAATTGTGTTTTAGAATCATTGAGACCTTCAGCTGAGAATGAGATAGAAACCAGTCTGCCCTGTGGAGGGCCCACCCTGCTAACACCAGATGCATTATGGAGCGGTGCCCACTGCCTTCCCATCCATCGACTTATAAACTTGGCACAGTTGGTGAACAGGAAGCACCCGGGTGCCAGCTGAGCAAGGACTTGCCCCAAGGAATGCTGTGGCTCCATAGAGCACATGATATTAGAGCTGGGCCTTGAAGGATAGATACAGGATTCTAAGAAGAACAGGGAGATCTCCAGCCAGCGGTCTAGAATGGAGGAGTAAAGGGTCCTGCACATTTGGAATAGGGCATAATTCCATTCTGGGTCCAGCATGAGACACCTCAACTCTGCAGTGGATTTGATACCCACTAGCAAATCTTGAATTATCACGGGTAGTGGCCTGCTTTGCATTTTCCAGGAGTGGAAGTCAGAAGTGTGGGTCATGGGTTGTAATACCAGCCTCGAAAAGAAAGGAACCTAGAAAGGAAGTCTCCCCTGGTTCCTGTGGTCAGTCTTCAGTTGTGGATGACATGCTATGTTCTATCCTTATCCTCAAGAGTCATCAGCTTATTCGGGTTGGCTGCTTTCTACTTCTAGAACCTTCTGCAAAATCTTCAACACGCATTCATCTTTCCTGTTGTGGGCCTGCTAACATGTTTAGCTTATTGTTTTAGTGTCTTTTGTGTTGTAGTTTTACTTGTTGTGGTGAAAGCTCTGACAGAGGCAGCTTAAGGAAGGAGGGGTTGAACTGGCTCACAGTTTAAGAGTCCTGTCCCTCATTGGAGGGAAGCCAAGGTGGCAGGAGCTTGAAGCAACTGCTCAAATCACATTCCCAGCGAGTAATAGGTTTGTGTGTGCTGCTCGCTTTCTCCTTTTTATACAGCTCAGAAAGCTAGTTTCAGAGTGTATGAGTCTTCCCACCCAATTGGCTTAGTCAAAATAATCTCCACAGACATTCCTGGAGGCCTGTCTCTCAGATGATTCTAGGTCTTACCAAGTTAACTATCATAGTAACAAAAAAAAAAAAAAAAAAAAAAAAGGTAGTGAGTGAGTGGCTTTGGGCGGGGTTCCCAGCTGGTTCCAGGCCACGCTGTCTTGTTCCAAGCTCTGAGCTCTTGGCATGTGTGAGCACTCAGTCTCTGCTTCATAAGGTTCCCCCTTAAGGATTCTAGGAGCTTGAAGATCATTCTGTGTACATCCCTTGCAGCTGTCTTCATGATCTTTAAAAGACTTTTCCTCCCAAATATGATGCATGAGGTCAATAAATTGTGCTCTTTTTTTGCATGGCTCTGAGTACGCATAGCTGCTCATGGGAGCCATCATCTTCATGCCTCCGGGGTGTTATAGAAACTGGTCCTTGCTATTACTTCCTAAGTTCAGCTGAGCTGAAGCAGAAGGAACTGTGTCATGAGGAAGTGTTAATATGGTGACCAGGAAAACTCATTCCTCAAACTCTTACAGATGAAGATGAAAAAAGCAGATGCACCTCAACCAGGAACACGGAGTGTCAGTGCAAATCAGGCACTTTTAAAAATAACAACTTAACTGAGTACTGCAAGAAATGCTCTCTGTAAGTATGACACAGGGGCCCTGGAACTCCTACAAGCACAGAGGAACCCCAGAAGACCCAACCTTCCTTGCATCCTTTTCTTTCCCTGATTCTGTGGAGTTCCCATACCACAGAGTCTCCCTAAATCCTTGGGGTTTCTCCATATCCAAATGCAAGTCTCTCCATATCCCTGTCCCCCACCACTCAGCAGCCCCTTCATGTCCTTTTCTACCCGTTCTTTGTCTACTGTCCGTAGATACATAGCATGAGAATGAGGGGCACAACATAGGCCAGCTTGTGTTTTTATTTACTCCACTTGGGAATTCTTGTGCATGAAGAGGCCTCTAGAAAAGCCTCTTTATAGAAAGACAAAAGTGTTTTATCCTGCAAAAGACATAAGGAGGAGCTCAGTGTGTGTGTGTGTGTGTGTGTGTGTGTGTGTGTGTTCCTGTTCAGATGAAAGGGTATCCTGGGATTGGGAGCCTAGGAACCACACAGCTCCGAGGTGTGCTAGTGTCCCAATGGAGAGGCATCCTGAGACATAATAGCTTCATGGCTTCATCTGATGAGAGAGTCATGTTAGGCAGCAAAAATATTTATTGGAGGGTCCGAAGTGTGGAGGGACAAATCCAAGGTATGGTTTCCCTTGCTCCTGGAGAGGACAGCAGGGAGGTGAACAAGGTGCAGGATTTATGTAGGATTTCTTAGGGGGCAGAGCTTTTCAGGGAAGAAATTTCCAGAGTGAGGATTGGTGGGATTTCAGGTCCTGAGTTTAGGTGGGTCAGAGATTAGGGGTTTTTCCTGTTCAGGGATTGGTAGGTTTCTGTTCAGATTATTCACCCCAAATTAGCATAACCTAGAATGGGTCCTATTGAGGGCCTGGAGATGACCTTGTGACAGTTACAGGTGCTGGAAATGCTGTTTCAATCATTACAGAGGTCTGAGGGAGGGGCCTGGTCACTTTCCTGCCTTGAGGGATTACAAAGTTTATAAAGGGAGTCCATGAGAGGGAAGCCTTTCCCTGCAGCTTCCATCAGCATGAACAACCAACAAAAACTGGAGAAGAGATGCTGCCACAGTGGACAGCTCCCTTGAGTTGCTGAGGCAGGAAAGGTGTCACCACTGTCATCAGGGATAACAAAAGGTGGCAGAACACTGAGGATGGCAGGACACTGAAGAGGCATCAACCTTTCTGACAGGAGCTGCCATTTTGACAGGAACCATTATTTTGGCCGCTCCTTTGGCAGTGCAGGCTGGAGCAGGAAGGAGGGGCACTGACAGATCTTGCTGGGGTGGGGTAGGGTGGGGGCTGGCGGCAGTGAACTCTGACCGAGCTGCTCAGGGGCTACAGAGTGTGTGTGTGTGCGCGTGTGCGCGCCTCGGGGTTCTCAGAGCTACCTGAGCCAACCTCACTTTAGGAGTTTGAAGGAAAATAGTTCATTTACTTTTCCCTGACCACTTGGTGGTTGCTCTAGTTGGTAAAGAGACCTGTTTATTAAAGGTTGACTAAGGGAAATGGCTCTGTGGTGGCCACCAAGCTTCTGACCTTCCCCTTCCTAACTTAGGCTCTCCCTGTCGCCCAGGACAGCTCAGCACACGCTCTGCAGAAAAGGCAGAAGGGCTGCCACCATGCCTACAGAGGGTTCCCCAAGGGCTGCACTGTGTGTACCCAGATGTAGGGACATATTTGGACGGGAGGAGCCTGTCCTTCCTTTAATACCATTTCAGGGACATTGGGCAGAATGGGTGACTCCCCTTTCATCGCATCTGGCTAGCAGCCTTCTTACAAAATTGTATCACTTGTTCCTTGTGTGTGCTCAGGTGCACTGATGGGAAAGAGGAAGTGACTCCCTGTACCCCAAAGACAGACCGGAAGTGTGTACCCCAAAATGCTGGGACAAGTCATCTCGTTGTGAGCATAGCAGTGCCGCTGGCCCTGCTGGCCCTGCTGGCCCTGCTGGCCCTGCTGATTTTAGCTTATGTTGCTTGGCGGAAGACTCAACCATGGAGTATGGTATTGCGGCATATAAAAAGAGCCTGCCCACGTGAGTACTGGCTGAGGGTGGGCCCCCTGGACACTGAATCTGAGTCTCCCTGACCTGATCTTCAGAGTCTCCCTCCCCGTGTCGCAAACCCCAGTGTCCCCAGAGCCTAGCTCTCTCTTGCTCCTGTGATTCATATATCACCTCCCACTTCCCCCAAAACTCAAAAACACAGACTCGCCAGTTCATCTCACTGACCATTCCCTCATTCGCTTAACAAAGGCTGAGAGAGTGGGGCCTGGTCAGGACAAAGAGGCATCAACTCAGCTGAGGACAAAACTCAGGATTGTAGAGGGCCAGGGCCAGCTCTGGTTACAGCAGAACCAGACAAAGATTCAAGGTGTGTTCAATCTGTTTCTCCCCAACTGCCTTCTCAGCCTGAGAGCAGACCCAAGTGAGAATGGCCCCTCTGTATCTACTTAGTGTTGGAAACTCTAGCCCACTCTGCTCAGGTGAAGAAGGGCTGATGAGTCCCCTGCCCACTTGCTATGGAAACCTCCTTCTCTTCTAGGCCGAGAACAGGGCTTGGAAAGTGCGGACACCAGTTTGAATCTCATGGGAAATGATTCTCCCCATAACAAGGTCAGTCCTGCAGTGAGGCCCCAGAGGTTGTAGCTCTGCTGAGAAGTAGGGCTTTTTTAAAATTTTACTTGTGTATGATGAGTATGCATATGATCTATGTGTACATGCCTGGTGATGAGGAGGTCAGAAGAGGGCATTGGATTCCCCAGAACTGGAGTTACAGGCAGTTGGGAGTTGCCATGTGGGTTCTGCCGATCAAACCCAGGTCCTCTGGAAGAGCAGTCAGTGCTCTTAACCACTGAGCCATCTCTCCATCCCTGAGAAGCAGGGTGTTTGAGGGGCTGCACATCATCTCCCCTGCCCTGGGTTGCTGTCCTGACTCAAACACTTGCTTTAATTAATTGCTTGCAGCTGGGCACGGAGGTCTATGGCTGTAATCCAAGCACTCTGGGAGGCAGAGAAACCCAGTCTTAAAAAAACAGAAAAGAAATGAAGAAAAATTTAATTGCTTGCATTAATTAATTTGGCTATGATGATTTGGGTTGGTAGTCTTTCTCCTGTCTTTGGAATAACACTATCCTTTGGCTCCTAGTTGTCTTTTAAAAGTCAAATTTAAGGGCTGGAGAGGTTGCTGCTCAGCAATTAAAAGTGCTTGCTGTTCTTCTAGAGGATCCAGGTTCAGTTCTCAGTACCTGCATTGGGTGGCTCACAACTGCCTGTATCTCCAGCGCCAGGGCACCTGACACTCTCTTCTGGCCTCCACAGCTCCCCCTCATTGCTCATGACATACATCCACACAGACGCATACATGTCAATTGAAAAACCTTTTAAATGGTCAAATTTCTTACTCAGTTGTTTGTATAAAAAAATGTAAATCTTAATTGTTGTATTTTACCAATGGAGACCCAGGAGCCAGATGCTGGGGTGAAAACCTACTAGCTCAGAGAGGCAGAGAAAGCACCCAGCTGACCTTTCTACTCAGCTCATGTCCCAGAAGGAAAAGGCCAAAAGCCCAAAGCTAAAAGCTTGCTAGCTCAGCTGATGGCCTAGAAGGAGAAGGCCAAAAGCTCAAGGCCAAAGAGCTAAGGAGTCCAAGAACTAGGGATCTAAAGCCAAGGAGCTGAAGAGCTAAAGCTCCCTCTTCTCCATACTGTCTTAAATACCCTTCATCTCTAAGTCCCTTCTTCCTGCTTAATCCCTGTTATCTGATTTCTTGCTCTGCCTCTTGACCTAGGGTTAACTTTATTAAATCCTGTGTACAGAAAGCTCTTGGAATAATAGGTATGTGTTAGGGCTGGCTGAGCCACACCACAACTACCTGTTTACAATAAACAGAACGTTTATGTTAGGGCTGAATCACACTAAACAAACAGATTTGTACCGTTCACAGTCTTAGGGTTCACAATGGGATAAAATATCTTTTAATATTCGGTTGTATCAAATGCCTTCCCAGCCAACATTGCTATTGGTGTTTTTATTTCAATATTTAGAAAGTTGATGTGTGAGCAAAATACCGTTAAAGCCTTGAAACAAATCTTGACCTTGGGTTTTGCAAAGCTTTCTGTAGTCTCCAATTGAGTCTTACAAGAAGCCTGGGCCAGGGTGGATTGGCCAACGGGAAAGCCCTGGAGGATAGAGCGGATGTCCAGTCCTGACGCAGGCTCATACATGTTGTCACGGAACACGAACGCTGATCACGAGCCTTCAAGCAGGAAGTTCATCCGTGTCTCCATAGAGACCTTAGAGGGGCAGTGCTGTAAGCTACGTCTGGAAATCAGGATCAGGCCTGGGCTCCAGGTCTCCTGACTCTGACCAGGGTGTCTGCTATTGGTTTACAGGAACCTGTGGAAGCTGAGAATTCTCCAACAGGAAGGAAGCTGCTGGTTCCTGCAAATGGATACGACCCAATTGACGGTGAGTGTTTCGTCAGAGGCAACAGCACAGAAGCCTGGGGAGTAGGGAAAGCATTCCAGCTGTTGTCCGCATGCCAGATAGGGCTCTGCCAAGACAAATAATGATTGGTGCAAAGCCTACACTGTTGTCACTGGACTTGGGGATCATAAATGCCCCTCTCCTCCCTTCTGTCTCCACTGGGACTCTTCCCATGTCCCATATTGTTGTTAGAATCTTTCTGTCCTTCCACTCTCTACCATCCCTCCTTTTTCTCCTGTAGTCCCCACGCCAAACTCTGCCAAGACCTCCAGAATGCTACATTGGCCTGTGTTAATAATACCCACAGACCTTAGACTAGAAGCTCCTGAAATGGCCGGACCTAGTTTGATGTGTTGTACTATAAGCCACAAACCTGATCTTAGAGACTTCATGTAAAATGAATGGAAACCATCTCATGAGTAATGTTTCAGATACTGACTACATAAGTTGATGGATTTTGTATGTATTGAGTTGAATCAAATGACTCTTGTTTCCTTTGATGATTAGTTACTTCGTAAGTTAGTTCTGTATAGGTTCTGGGAATAGAACTTAGGGCTCCTGCGGGAGCATTATGTACTTTTTACCATTAACCACTGGGCTCTCTTCAGCCCCCATACTCAGTGCTGTAATGCTTGGGACTGAACCCAGGGCTTTGCATATGCTGGGTAAATACCAATTGAGCTATGCCTCTAACCCTCTTACTGGTTAAATAATGCTGTTAGGAATTGTCCATGTGACTGCTGGGCTTACGGGATTCAAATCCCCGCTCCTTCTGTTTCCTGGGGTTGTGACACGTTTCATACGTGCCTCACCTTCGTCATCACAACCCTATAAGTGAGTTCTCAGGACTTAGCTGCAGGTTTAGGTTTTCAGTCATTTCTTTTCCGACATCTAGTAGTGATGCGGCAGTGAGGGAGGCCAGCTGGCATGGAAAGGTCCTCCACCGCTCCGCCTCGTTCTGTTCATAAATGTGGATAGCCTTTCCCTACACCCCACTCACTGTGAATGAGTACAGCCTAAACACCTTCCTTTCCTTGAGATTCTATGCTCTCACTCCCCCCATTCCCATTCCCCTCTGTGGTTTCGGCCATATGCTACTACCTTCCATACACATGCGTGCGCGCGCGCGCGCGCACACACACACACACACACACACATGCGCACAAACATTCACTCTGAACCTTCTCCCCACTGGTCTGACAACCCTCTTACAGAACAGGATTTTTTTTTTTTGTATAATAATTTTTATTTTTTATATTAATCAAGAACAGGATTTTTTAAAGTATATTTTTAAAAAAAATATTAAAAATTTACTGTGTAAATATGGTGTTTCGCCTGCATTTATGTCCATGCACCGCTTCTAGCAGAGGCTGGAAGATGGCATCAGATTTCCTGGGACTACAGTTAGAGATGGTTGTGAGCCATCATAAGGGTGTTGGGAATCGAACCTGTGTCCTCTGGAAGACTAGTCCAGCTGAAACCATCTCTGCAGCACCCAGATTCTTGGTTGGCTTCGGGTGTGGTGGAGCTCCGACAACGTTCATGGAACAGCAAGGGGAGTGCATAATGTCCTACCCTTGGCTTCTAGATCTGATTTAGGATTCTCCGCCCTTTGTGAAGTGCTTACAGCTTACCCGTCCCCCATGTTTTCTTTCATGTAGCCCTGCAGAGGATCTTCAATTACTGTACAGATGTTGTGCCCTTTAACTCCTGGGACCGCCTCATGAGGGAGATGGGCCTCAAAGACAATGAGATTAAAGTGATCAGAGCTGAAACACAGCCCCAAAGTGATGCCTTGTACCAAATGCTGCAGAAGTGGCTCAACCAAACAGGGCGAGGTGCCTCTATCAACCATCTGCTGGATGCCTTGGAAGCTGTGGGAGAAAGATGCGCCCGGGACAAAATTGAAGAGTATGCAGTGAAATCAGAGAAGTTCATTTATCAACAGTCTACAGATGAGCCAGGTGTGGCTGACTCATACTTTTAATCTCAGCACTCAGGGGACAGAGACAGGAGGATCTCTATGAGTCTGAAGCCAGCCTGGTCTACATAATGAAGTCAGGATAGCTAAGGCTATGTAGGGAGACCCAGACTTCAGAATGTTCGTTTCACATGTCTACCAAGACCCCTTGTCCAGAGACAAACTCTGCCTCCTCCAGCCCAACCCCTCTCTGTCAAAGAGGGAAGAACAAAACAGCCCGAGTGTAGAAACTTGTGTCCTTGGCCTTGTCCAACCAAGGACACTGCTCTTGGTTAGACTGCTGTTCAAGCACACAGCTGCACAGCCCTCCCTGGCTCTAGCCTGCTAGTGAGCACCTGCAGACGGGCTGTGTTGAATCTGCAAACCTGTAAATCGTGATTTCTCACTTAGTGAGTTTGGTGCTTTGCACACATAGGGAACATAAAAAGCACTACCTAGTGTGACACGTCCACCCTGATCCCCATTTCTTGTTAACTGCTGGAGAACCAGTGGCTTCAAGGACCTCTGAAATCTCTAAGAGGCAACTTGATTCTTAGAGATTCTCGACCTTGATTCTCGCTGGGTTCCAGTTCTCCTTGACACTTGATCAGTCTGGGTGTGTGTAACTGGATCCTTTAAGCTGTATAACTTTATAATGTTTACATATAATTTAACAGTTTATTTATAGTTATGGATAATTATTGTATAATGTCATAATCATAAGTTATATTATTAATAGTTTATATAATAACTTTATGTTTCTGTTTGTTTTTGTCTTATGGTTCTCTTTACTGGACGCAGGTCCTACTTCATGCTGAGCAAATATTTTGCAGTTGGTTAGCCTCTAAGTTTAACAACTCTTTAGGTAGAAAAATATTTACATGTTTACAGTTAGGTGTTTCCAGGCAAGCAGAGACTTGAGAACTGTATCCACGTGATGTGATGGGAGGCTGGTCCATGATCTGGCATGTGTGGTGGTTAATCTTGATTAGGTTGAGAGGTGCTAGACCACTGTGATGGTTTGAATAGGTACGGTGCCATAGATTCATGTGTTTGAATACTTGGCCCTTAGGGAGTCACACTGTTAAGGGGTGTGTCCCTGTGGGGGAGGGCTTTCCCATGTACCACAGAGTCCCCTTTGGCTGCCTGTGGATCAAGATGTAGAACTCTCAGCACCTCTCCAGCACCATGTCTGCCTGGATGCCGCCATGCTTCCCACCATGATAATGGACTAAGCCTGTTAAACTGTAAGCCAGCCCCAGCTAAATGCTTTTCTATGTAAGAGTTGCCATGGTCATGGTGTCTCATCAGAGCAATAAAACCCTAACTGAGAAAGCCAGGAAGATGGCTAGAAGATAAAGGTGTTGCCACCAAGCCCGATGACTCAAATTCAGTCTCCAGAAATCACATGATGGAAGGTGAAAACAGACTCCTATAGGTTGTCTTCTGGCCTCTATATGTGATGGGGTTCATGGGCATGTGTGTGTGCACGCGTGCGCGCGCACACACACATAAATGTAATTTTAAAAATCCAAATTGAGAAGTGTCTAGGAGATTGTACAGCATACTTCTGGGTGTGTCTGGGGCATTTCCAGAGAGGGAAACAGCAACTATGAAGAACAGCAGCTGTGATGGGAAGACTTGCCATAGATTGAGTTACTCTCCAGTAGGCTGGGGGCGGGCATGGAGTATGAGGAAGGAGGAGGCAGGCAGCCAGTGCTTGCAAGCTCCATTCTTCACCAATGAATTTGTTTGTTGCTGCTGCCATCACCAGTGGACATCCTTCCCCGGCTTCCTCAGCTGTCTTACGTGGACTCAACCTTAGCGACTCTCCTGGGGAATCTCAGACCATCAGCCTTGGTTTGGGATATACTTGACTCCTGTTGTTTTGAGCCTCCCCACTTCTTAGACTGAGAAGCTATGACCTTCTGTAGTTCTAGGCAGACAAGCCAGTTTCCTGAGTCCCCCTTTACAATTTTATACTGTTGGACTTCTCACCTATGGCCAGGGTGAGGAGATGGGAGGAAGGTTAGGTTGGAGGTGCCAAATGAGGTCATGTACATTTAAAGGTAGTGGTGACCGAGTCCTGTTTGGGATCAAGGGAGGAGGGGACAGAGACTGTCTCAGGCATGGTACATATGAATGTGAAATACTAGCCGACTCATGACTTCTCGGTTGTAGTGAATCTAGGCCTGGACCACATTTGGGGTACAGAAATCCATTCTTGAGGACCATGCCCTTTGTAAGCATCTGGCCATTGTACAGAAGACTAAATGCCGAAACTCAATTGTCCTACCTTGGCCTCCTTAGAACTGGAATTTATAGGTTTGCTCCTCCCAAATCTAGAAATAACTTTTTAAAACACTGTGATAGGGATTTCTGGAGAGCTGGCACATACAGATTTTTGTCTGTGGATTCCTATTGTTTTTTTTTTTTTTTATTTTTAAACTGATTTGTTTTTGAGACAGTCTCAGTATGTGGCCTTAGTTCACCTTGAACTATATAGACCAGGATGATCTCCAACTCAGAGATCTGCCTGCATCTGCCTTTCAAGTTCTGGGATTAAAAGGGTTTGCCACCATACCTGGCCTTTGTCTATTTTGGTATTTTTTGGTGTGTATGAATGAATGTTTTGCCTGCACGTATGTGCATGACATGAATGCCTGGTGCCCTCAGAGGTCAGCCAGTGGCATCTGATCCCCTTGAACTGGAGTTACAGGTGGTTGTGATCCACCATCGGTGCTTGGAGCTAGTCCAGGGCCTCTGCAAGAGGAAGTGCTCTAAAGCACCGAACAACCTTCCTAAGTCCTCATTCTTTCAGCAGTCCTTTGGGCAAAACCTTCTCCAGTAGGTTCTAGGCACACAGGACAGTTACCTAGAGATGGCTGTCCTGGCTATTCTGTATTGTCTTGTCTGTATTCTGTATTGTTGCTGTGGCATTCATGTAGCTTCAGGAGGGAGACCCCGCTTCCTAGTGTTATCCTCATCGGTGTCCTTGCAGGCTTCTGAGTGTAAGCATTGCGCCTACACGCAGATGCTGGAATTGCACATGAGGGTTTGCTGGGCTCTGTACCCAGCCCCAACAGTGGGTATATGTTTCACCCTCACATGTGATGTGCTTTCTTACCTCTCTCAGAAATGTGTTGGTAACATAAAACAATACAAGGCATGGCATTAGGTACAAAATACTCATGTATTATGAATTCATGACCAAATTAAATATGAAACCTCATATAAAAAGGTGTGTGGAGGGGTTGTTTGTGTTTGTATCTTTTGCCCCCGTCCTCTAAAACAACACTGAATGACATGTGACATAGCCCAGGGGAGCATGCCCACCCCTGGGGGCTTTGACCCACAAGGCTTGCCCCACAGTGGAGTTTCTCCTGCTTCTATGTCCCTGGAATCCAGAGCACCTATGCACAAAGGGACTGCAGTTTGCCCCTCCTCTCTCCTGGCTGACTCACTTAGAGTCCCCCTGGATGGTTATGCCCAGCTGTAGGGCCCTACCTGGTGCACACTGGCTCTGACAGCTGTGTGGGGGCTGGAGAGTCCCTGAGGGGTGAACTGGCCTGGGGTTAGGGTATGATGTTCCTTGACCAATCTCCTTGGGCTTCCTCCAACCCCACAGGGCTTCACTTTCACCCACTGGCCTGTCCATCCTCATCACTAGTGGTGCCCAAGCTGCTCAGCCCTAAAATCACCTGGGAGACCCAGTTTCTCTTGCTCTTTAGGACAGAACTCTACTTATCACCTACAGCTCCCAGAGGTACCCCTCTGTCCTCAAAGGTAGGTGTGGGAGGCTGCCTGCCTTTTCCATGCCCACTGGGTCCTCATTTTCACACTTGAAACCATTTAGAACTCAGCAGCAGGAGGGCATACCAGCCAGCAGAGGGCAGCACACATCACACATCCCCACACCTCTGGAGGATTTAACTAAAAAGGCAGCTGCTGTAGCTTTGGCTCAGATGGCAAGAGTTCAGCACTGAGACCTGCCATTGCCTGTTCCTTATGACGAGATCAGAACTCTAGGTCCTGGAACCACACAATTGTAGTGCTGCATTTGCTTCCAGGTTTCCTCTAATCCCAGACCTAAGCAGCCTATCCAGGTCCTGGGGACTCGGCCAGCATTTCCCACCTAAAGCATCTTCTCAGGGTAGGGGACCCGTGAGCTCTCATGATCTGTTGCCTCATGGGACTTCACCTCATAAATCTAGAGGAAGGATAAAAGGTGATGTATGGATCATAATTAGGAAATGGATAGGTTCGAATGAGGCCCAGTGCTTGTCCCACGGGGCTTCCAGCCATTGTGTTAACCCCCCAGTCACCCAATTCCCCTCTAGACTAACACCATCCTTCCTGCTCAGCGTTCCCATTTCCTCCTTCCCTTTACCCCCCATTCCAGTTCCAGGTTGGGTTGTGTGGCCCATTCTCCAGTGTCCTTTCCTGACCCTTAACCCCTGCTGAAAGCCTCCCACCCACCCCCAGGAAAACACTGCTTCACACACATTCTGTGCCACCACCCTTGGAAGAGGAGGGCAGCCCGCATCAAGAGGGAAAAAGTCCAAAGTCTTTCCTGCCACCCTGTAGCCTATACCCATCCAGCCTTGGGGAACAGCATCCTCAGGTAGGCTGGGGACAAGCCCTCTCCTGAATGGCATTGGAGTGGCTGGTCCTACTGGCCCTTTATATCCATATTATTACAGAGGCCTCTGTCCAGCTCTATGAAAATGTATACCCTACAGGGTCTCTTTTTTGGGAACTTCATTCCTTGGGGGGAGACAAAGGATAGAGTGGCTCTGTTAGTGGTGCTTTTGAGTTTGGTTTTCTTCTTCTGTTGGGCTGCTTTGGCCCCACCTCACAGAAGGCAGTGCTACCCAGAGGCAGGGGAAGAGGCCTAGAGGAGCATGGGATTGCTGAGCATAGAACCCACCCTTCCTCCTCCTCCATCCACGTCCAAATGTAACAAGTGCAGGGAGGGTGCAGTCGGAGACTGCCTACAAACCTGCACGCTGGGTCTGCACTGCCTGTAGCCCCGAAAGGATGCTGGCAGGATGCAGTTTGTTCCTTTCTCCTCCTCACAGCCACACCTCATGGCATAGAACCCTTGATGTGAACCCTGGAGAATTCTTTTCTCCCCTGACTTCTCAAGCAAGGATTTGAATAAGCACACAGGACGATGCTCACAAAATACCTGCAACCCTCAAAAGTCTGTTGGTACAAAAACATGACCAGCTCCTGGGGAGGAAGCTACCTCCCTGGCCAAAGGGGACACCAATACAGACAAGCCCACGTACAGGGAAGCTTTCCTCCATTGACTCTATTGTCAAGTCCAGAGAGCAAAGAGCAGAGCTCTGAGCTCTTTCCTGCTCCCCACCTTGGGGCAGACCTCTTCCTGCCCTGCCTGGAATTGTAGGTGGACCCTGTTCTGATCTGCTGGGCTGGCTCCTCTTAGCCTGAGCCACCTTGGCTGGTAAGAACAGCTCTGCCCTTAGGGTTCTGGCTAGGTGAGTTCCCTCGTCCCCTGTCGGGTGGAGGGGATGATACAGAAGAGCAGAAGGACAAGGACTAATGAGGACCACAGCAGCAGGATCAGAAGAGGGTTGCAGCATCTCAGACCACGGCCGAGGAGGAGGACGGAGATGCTGAGCCTGCTGCTGAGGAGGACGGTGATGAGGGACTGTTCCAGAACAGCCACCGCCGCTTCGGCTGCCTCCGCAGGTGTAAATAGTCCTCTTTCTCACGCTCCTTCCGCGCACGTTGATAGTGGTCTTCTTCTTTCAGGTACCAGACCGGCGGCCACCGGTGCTTCTCAAAGTACTCCTGGTTTTCTAGGGCACAGTGCAAGGGGTGCTGAGTCAGGATGTATGCTTCCCCTCCTCTTCCCCTTATCCAGGCCAGCGCTAAGCCCACCCCTGCTTATGGTCCAGTTGAGCTCCCGCTGCAGAAGCCGCTGTGGCTGGCACAGAGACTCACCTGGAGACATGGCCTTCATGTCTCGGGGGAACTTGCGGCACACGTTGTTGTAGTTGGTGCAGATATGGTGGAGACACCAGTCAGCCAACTGGTATGCGCAGTGGAACTGTGGATGGTACAGAAACGCATGCCCATTGGGGTAGAGACTCTGCATAGAGGCCTATGGAATAGCAGCTCTGGGCAGCGCCCATGGATACTCTGTAGTCATAAGGCCCACCCTCAAACGCATCCCTTCCCTTGCCAGAACCGAGCAAGGCAATGATTGATGCAGGCTCCTGGACCCTATTACCAACCCCACAGTGGCCCCCAGCATCCGTGCTACTGGCATTCATGTCCCACATGTCCTTCCTCTGGCATCTGTTCTTCTCAGCTCTTACCCCATCTGGCTCCCTTCTCCTCCCATCTGCGGACAAAACAATCCGCAGCAAGAAGTGGGCAACCAAGTTCAGCAAACCTGGCAGCGGCCACACTCAAAGACTGAATTCCTGGCACTGTGACTCTTTTGTTTGGCAATAGGAGGCCGGAAGTTAACTTCAGAGGGGAAGTCCTCAGTAGCCTGTACATGATTCAAGCCCTATCCTGGGGTCCACTCTAATGACCTATGGTCTCAGTCCATCCATTTCCTGTCAGCTCTCTTTGCAGATGTCCAAATGTTCTCTAGTTGCTTCCTGATGTATAAGGTGACATGAGCGCCATCTTGCTGTGAAGCCAAGGCTCCTGACCCATCACCTCCCAGAGTCCTATAACCATCCCGACCCATCCCGACCCATCCCCTCCCAGAGTCCTATAACTCTGCCTAAGGGCAGACAGAGCCTGGAGTCAAGACTTGCCCATTCCTTCCCCTGCCACGATACCTGTGCCAATTCCAGGAACACAAGGACATCCCCATCGATGTCCACCATCATCTGGGTTGCTTCCATCAGTCCGGTCACTGTGTACTGCTCTGTGACACACACACACACAGCCAGCAATCAGCTGAAGAAACAGTGCAAATGTACCATAGCAGGGGATTGATTGCTGCAGGGAGGGGTTCAAACTGGATAGGCCACATGGCCTATCCAGGCCAGAAAGACCAAGGGAGACTTTAAGTTTGTTCCCATTGATGATGGGGGCGGGGAGAACAGGGATGAGGCTAAGACCTCAGTGGAGTAGGGATGGGAAATGAAAAAGGATGCTAAGTGAATTAAGAGCTTCCCCCTCCCAAACTACATATGTCCCACCATATAACCTGATATACAGAGCACGGTCCTCGGGACAATTAGCAACTGAGGGAAGAGGGCCTGAACCCTCATGCCTGTCGAAAGTGAAAACAGCCTGAAAACTCTGATCTAGAACTGTGGGTCTAAACATTATTAACAGATGGTATGTTAATCCTCCAGTTTACATTAAAACATTTATATGGAGGAAGTAAAACTCCCTTGCCCTGAATTCAACTAAAAGGATCAGAATAAACCATGAGGTATTTCATCCTTAAAAAGATGGGTATGTTTGTCCAGCTCCTCCCACAGGAAAGACCAGGAAACAGGAAGTATCACAAGGCCAGTGGGCATTTCCATTGTCAACTATAAGAAACCAGGGCTTCCAGCATCTATAGGACCCTGGGTTCATCACCACAAAGAAACCAGGGTGTTTTGTAGAAATGGTTGATTCCAGATCTGAAACATAAAGGTTCACGGAGGAGCTAGGACATTCAAGACAGCAAGGAAGCCAAGGACTCCAGGGCAAACACGAAGAGAGTGCTATTGGTTACAGTATTTGAACTTCCATAAGAATAAATGCGTTGGTTGTGGTGGTGCCTGCTTACAGTCCTAGCACTCTGGAGGATGAAGCAGGAGGATGGGGAGTTCAAAGCCAGCTCAAGGAACATAGCAAGTTCAAGGCCAGACTGGGCTTTATAAGACCCTGTCTTAAAAAGCAACAAACAAACAAACAAACAAAAGAAATATAATTAAACAAAACCAATCAAGTTTGTTCATGATAACACTTTAAAAATATACACAGAAAAAAAACTGGCAGGAGGAAAAAAACCTCAAAGGAAAGGGCCAAATGTTACTGTCTTAACTACAGAAACTCTTATTACGGGTAACCAAACAGTAAGTGATGGGCATTCCCCACTTTGTGGAAGGAATGATTGAGTTGGAATAGTATCTTTT